ACTGTTTGTTCCAACAACTGGAACTACAGCATAGTAACAGTCACAACTAGTATTTCCTGTAGTTTGAGTTCAAGGAAGACAACAAATCCAGATTTCTATCACTGTGAACATTTTCTGTTATGTTCCACTTGGCTAATAAAAATACATACAATAATCACAATAAAACAGTAACATGAAAGATACAGCAGGAATACCTGATTTTAAACAGTATTAAAATGTTTGAGGTTGGAATTTCACATGAAATGGCAACGGTTTCAAACGAACCAAAATCACCTGAATATTATTAGAAACGATAAAAGTTTAAAATCACAACCTGTGAATGATTCACTTAAACTCATTCAGCATCCTCGTGACAAAAGCTGCTCGCTACGTCGCTCTTTACCCTCGTGTAGACGTCAAAGGGCAGGCAGGAGTGCTGGGTCACGGTGCTCCTAGCTATCGATTCCAGGTGGTTGAAGAAAGGCTGACAGGTGTACAGGAAGCTGGGCACTGTGGTGGCAAGAGCCTCTCTTTCTACATGCCCTCTGTTAAAACACACACACAGAATCATGAAATACCAGAAATACCCAGGTGGCAGTAGTCCACTAGACCAGCCAGTACCGTACCCGTTGACGAGGTAGTGCTGTAAGTCATCTGCTTTCCTCATGAGGAACTGGAGCAGCAGCTGCATGGACTGCAGGCTGCCCTCCACTCCTCTCACCTCCACATAGCTGCAGGCCTCACAGTCACAGCTGCAGGCCGCATGGTCGCCACAGGATGGCGCCAGAGCAACATCAGCCAACAGCGTCAGCGGCTCCTCCACCTCTGGCACACACATTAAATGCACTTTACAGTAACAGAAAGAATACACACACATTCAATTCACTCCCCAATGGATTTAAAGCGGTGGTGTATGGGAGGGCAGCGGTTATTATTAAGCAGGCTGCTTTAACAACAAGCTGCGACCTCCAATGTGGGCTCACTGACAGTGAATGAGTGGTAAAACTGAGTGACAGAAGATACAAATGAGACATCCATGTTTTCATATCAGCGTGTATTAAACACTGTTGAACCTCTTGGTCCGTTGCTCTGAAGCCTCTCCGTGCAGTCGGACTCGGTCCCAGCACTCTCGTCCTGCCGGTGTCCTGCTGGAGAGTCTGTGGACAGCTGGACTTCAACCTGACCTTCAGTATCACCGGTCATGCTTCCTGCTGTCGGATAAAACTGGTATTTCTCAGGAAACCTGCTGCAAATAAAACGCCACGTTAACAGATTGTGATAGAGCTGCCACACAGCGCGAGGGTTTGTCAACGGTCAGCTTGGTTTACCGTTAACCTTCCGTTTATTACCGTTAACCGTCCGTTTATTACCGTTAACCTTCCGTTTATTACGGTTAACCTTCCGTTTATTACCGTTAACCGTCCGTTTATTACGGTTAACCTTCCGTTTATTACCGTTTACATTTCGTTTATTACCGTTAACCTTCCGTTTATTACCGTTACCCGTTAACCTTCCGTTTATTACCGTTAATGCTAGCGCGATGCTAGGTAGCTAGCTGTCGCGATGCTAGCCACACAACGACCTTTTAGTAAATAAACGACCAGCGATAACGACTGCATACTGGTCGGCTACTTGGGGTTAAATCACGAGATAACTGAGTGTGTGAAGATGCCACCATTTGTTTATTGTAACGTTTTAATAACTAATGAGCTAACTTTCGCGTTAGCTACGTAGCTAGCCGTTAAGATGACCGTTACCTCGCTCCGTTCCTCTGGTTGAACCTCGCTGGGGTCAAAGGTCAAATGTCATTAAACGCTTATTTATTATTTGTAATGTTTGCTTGCTTTGGGCTGTACAGTGCAAAAAAATATAAACACTGGAACTGAGTGAGCAGGACACGAAAAAAGGGATAACGTTTATCCATTACAGTTACAGAAAAAAGATGTAATCAGATTACAGTTACATTTGGTGAAAGTGGGGATTATTTAGCAGGATTACAATTTTAAAATACACTGAGCAGAGGATACATTTTTCATTTTTTCAGTTTCTATTTTCTTTTCAAAGGTTATATTGTTCTGCTGTCACTTCCTTTCTCTTGTTCTTACACATACCCTACCACAAATCAATGCACCGATGCAAATGCATTTATCTTATGTGCTCTCAGTCACAACCAAGCTACAAAGCAAAACTTCTGCTATCCAGGTTAGAGTTTTAGTTATTCATATAAACTAATCTAATATTTGTTTTGTTAAGATCTGTTAAATAAGTTTATTCAACTGCAGGATATCTGATTTTATGTGTTTGTCTTTCAGTTTTGCCTAACACAATAATAACATGTTAATGTAATCACGTGTAGTAAAAATATTAAAGATATGACAGCCTCAGTCATTTTAACATAGCCACTGTGGACCTATAAATAGCCCTGTGCTTTGAATAACATGTATAACAAACCGCATATTGCTTTTTAATAACAATACAGACATTTCCTCTTTGACATGTGTGATATAACACATTTTATTATCAAGACTGTTCAATCAGTGTGTTTCGAAATAGGCTAACCAATAAACACATTCTTTGCAACTTATCTTAAAAAAAAACACTGTTCACAAAGTCTTTGCCGAAGTACGTACAAAACAGATGTTTTGATCTAATTCTGTCTTCTTCCTGTGACTTCCCCTATATACCCTATTTGTGTAACATGTCTTATCCTTTCCCGTCCATTAACTTTAATTTAAAAACTACATCACAGTCAACAGGACGAACAGGAGATTGTTTGAAAATTGGTTCAATTCAGAACTTAGGAATCAGGAATATGTCACCCTATCATGAACCATTACTACCTTCTCAACACATTTGTGATGTTCTCACAGTGTCATCTTCTTTCCTACTCACAGAAGTTGAATCATACTAACTGCTGACAGTGGGTGACTCAGTATTTTCCTTTTTTATTTTTAGTTGTGACAGCACACATTTTTATGTCACATACGTATCAGATATGTGTGTATCCTGGAGCGTTGGGATCACTTTCTGTTCCTGCTTCCTTTCTATCTTTCGGCTGGCTAATTTTCATTATTCAAATCAGTTATGCAAATATAATGCTGTTCAACTTCTCTATCTAATCTACTGAAGACGCCCACTCACACATCACCTAACCCTATTATGAGTTTCTCTCACACACCGACACGCACACGTGTAATAATACATGATTACCATTTCTGTTAAATGAGATCCACTTTAGCTCTGGAGCATTTTCTGATGACAAGAATACACTGTGCAGCAGACTTGAAAATTAGATTTGAGTTAGATTTAACCCTTTCAACACCAATTTCACTTGTTTACTCTCTGCTTTGTACTTGGATTTTATACAATGAGGCAAAACGACCACAGTACAGAAAATATTATATTACATGTTCATATTCAGTTAACTCTGTATAGTAGAAACAGTCTGTGAGAGTAAAGTCACACCAAGTAAGACGCAATTTGGACTTAACTTCAGGAGACTTGGCTCACTTTAGACTTGGCTACAGAAATACTTGATCATAAACTAGAGACTAGCTGAGACTTGACTTGGATCTGCACCATAAAACTCATAATAAGTACAGTATTCATCTGTGGTTGGAGTTTTGATGTGTATGAAAAACTTGTAAAATTTGTAGATAAGGAAGAATCATTAACTGTTGCATCATGATTGTATCTTTAGTCCTCATCTAACTAACAGCTGCAGCACCAAGACCTCTGAAAGTGTCTCTGTGTGTGCATGTCTTATCTTCTGATTCAGCCTTAAACAGGAAGTAAGATAAGAACAAGAAAAAAAAACCACATTAATAAGTTTCTTTTTCCTATAAACGACTGAAACACTAATAGATGCTTCTGGCCAAGAGCAGCCATTTAAGGTTTTAGTGATTTTGTTTCTGGGACCCAACTTGTGAAATGTCTCAACAACTACTGGATGAATTGCCATGAAACTGGGTTCAGACATTTATATCCCCTTCAGGATGAATTGTAATAACCTTCCTTTAAGGACCTGTGTGTGGTATTGAGCAGCATCTAGTGGTGAAGTTACAGACTGCAGCCATCTGAATACAGCTCAGCCTTCGAAACATGTAGGAGAAACTACAGTGGCCGCAAAACTCTCGGAAAACACGAAAAAACACCCTATCAAGAGTCGCTGTTTGGTTTGTCCATTCTGGGCTACTGTAGAAACATCTGTATATAAAACCATTTAATTTTAAGGTGAAGAAAACAGAGCGATTCCTATTTTCAGGCGATTATACACTAATTAAAACAAACGTATATACATTATATTCCATTTCTGGGACCTTTAACTCTGGTTTATGACCAAACATCCCTTAAAATGAAGGCCCTTCCCACAAACCTCGGCTCAGATGATAAACATGATGTGAGAGCATGCTGATTGAGATTTTAACCATTAATACTATAAAATATAATAATAAAAGAACTACGTTGATGAGTGTTACTTCACTCGTAGATACCGGACCTGAACCGACACATTCAACAGTTGGCTCACAACAAGTTACGGTTGGCGACGTTGGCCGGTGCAGGTCACGTTGTACATCCGGGCGCGCCCCCGCCGCCCGGCCCGGACCAATGAACGCACGGGCGGCGGTGCTGGAGCGTCGGGAGCGCGCCGCAAGGTCTGGTGGTACAAGTGGCGCGTGCTCCTCTCCAGTCAGTTACCCGCGGTTTGAATGTGAGGAGACGTTGAGCCCTTAACGACGGACGGTTGCTGTGGCGCTGTGCCGTTTGCGGGGTTTTTGAGACTTCCGCCAGCGGGGAGGGTTTGTTTCGTGTTTATTTTTATTTTTATTTTTTTTTTATAGTGGGCAGGTTGAGCTTTCTATTGTCCCTCCGTTTGTCTGTATGAAGGACTGACAGGCGGCATGTGATACAGACGAGAGACTGAGGCGTGTTCGTGTTTCACGGATGTTCCCCGGGAAAAGAAGACAGCAAAGAGGAGTCTAGCTTTCATTTTCTTTGTGTTTGTTTGTTGTTGTCTGTGGATGTGACTTCACCACCGCCCGGGTTCATGACGGAGGAGGGCTGCTGCTGGATTGTATGGGGAGCTCTTGCTAGCTGTTGAATGGCCAGCACCCCAAAGAACAAGATGAACAATGCCTCTGCGGGTTGGTAGTTGTGTCTGGATGCTCCTGAGCGAGTGACCCACCGTGTGTTTGCTAAAGGCTGTGGGTTCATGTCCGTGAAGTGAGGGCTAAACGCTGGGTTAACACACTGAAGAGGACGGGGAGGCTCAATCCAGGCGCGGCCAGGCAAGCCAACAATGCGGATTACCTCTGGACTGTTTGCCTTTGTGTCAATACAGACTGTATAAAGTTGAGATAAGACAAACAGCCGGTCCTTTTTTACGATTATCATTTCATTTTACTGTCTTGGAGAGGACGTGAGGTTCAGATCCTCACAAAACTGCAAACTGACTGAAAACAGAGCAACAGGGACAACGATGGCGAACGACTCCATACAAGTAAGTTGATGAAGTTGGATGTCCTGCAACCTGCTTGTCTCATTGAAAGTGTCTTTACTGACCTGTAACCTTTCACCCCGAGCAGGATCTTGGGTGGTCCTCTAACTAGTCCTCCAGTGGTTCCCAACTTTTATTTATTGACTCCTTTTTTTCTTTAAATGAATCAATACCTACTTGTGACGCCTTATCATAGGACAAAGGGTTTGTTTCTGTCTCAAATTTGACTTGAAAGATTGTTATAGGCTGCAACGGTAAACATATTCAGTATTTTCTAAGCAGAAACAGTGACCCCTCAGATTTATCTTTGGTTCCTACCCCAAAGTTAGGAACCTCTGGTTTAAACCACCCAGCAAATAACAATCAGTTAGAAAAAAAGGTTTGTATATGACTATAAAACTAAATTACATTAGTATCGTGGTCAAGTAACACCAGTAGGGAGATTCAAACAACTTAAGGGAAGCACCATCATAAGATGCATTAACAGGGCTAATTGTAAATGCATCGTGTGTGTGTGTGTCTGTGTGTGTGTCTGTGTGTCTGTGTGTGTCTGTGTGTGTGTGTGTGTGTGTGGTGTGTGTGTGTGTGGTAGGGGGGAATATTCCTGATTTTCCGGGGGGCTCCCAAGAGGCGTCTCATGGATCTCTGTCGGTCCCGGGACCCCACTGTTAGAACCACCCACCACTCAGTTGAATTGGAAATGGATAGTTAGTCTCCTGTTAATAATGTATGCTGGGACACTTTCTGGTTTTGGAGAGTTTGTGTGCAGTGAGCTCTAGCAGGGCTCTGTCCTTTTGCCATAATGCCTCTTGGTCTAACTGCCTTTAAAGTGGTGTGTGTTGTTGTTGTTGTGTGTAGATACAGAGAGTAAAGGCAGGTGCACGCAGGCACAATACTGCTGTTTGAAACAACACACATTACACACATCAGGCATTCCTCCCTCATGAAAGCGTCAGCGAGCAGGAAGGCTACTCACTTTGCAATTGACTGATGCAGCATGTAGGCAATAGGTTAGCTGATCTTTGGTTTACTTTGCTCCAAAGAGTCAGTACAGCCTGCGGCGGGGAAAGAGGAGGCAGACGAGCATTGTGAAATTCATACCACTGAAGCTGCCGAGCCGTTGTTCCAGTAGAGCCTGACACACTTTGACATTTAAGTCTAAAGCGTGGAGTTTAGAAATACAGGTGCTGTCGTGCAGGTGATGCAGGTGTGTGTGTGTGTGTGATGTTACTCAATTGAGAAGGAAGAGCCGGCAGTGAAACAGGAGACTAGTTAGCCCTATTATTCCCCCTATTATTAGAAGAAGGCGAGTGAGGGACAGGTGCACGTGAAAGTGCAGCAGTTGAACAACGCTGGGATCAGTTTTAAGCAGACTTCGAACATGCTAGTTAAAGTGGTTGCAATGATAGTTGGCTACAAAAAACTTCACGTTCCCCTTACTGTGTGTGTGCAAGAGTTGCTGACGTCATAAAATGCTGACTAAAAACTGAACTCGTCCATCCATCCGTTCGTCCATATTTGTCCTTTCCTTATTGCGTTATAATTGAGCAGTTGATGTTTCTGTTTGGATACTCACACCGGAGTATTCAGAGGGTGTTTGTCTGCTGGCGTAACTTGTAGTCTGCCTGTGGCTCAGACTGCTGCCCACTGTTTACTGAGCTGTCCACTGTGTGTGCACGTTTCTGATTCTCAACACTTTATTGTTGCTGGAATTCAGTCATCATATGTGAGTGTTTGTCCTCAGGTCCGTTCACAGCTTTAGTTCAGTATCACATTTTTTCAAGCAGAAATGCCAAACAGTTAGTCAATTACCTATGAAAATAATCAGCAGAATAATCAGTAATTTAAATGCATAAAGGCATCATAAGCTTTATGTTTGACGTGTCTCTACACACATGCAGTTTCTCTAACCTTTAATTGATCAGTTTCCCCCTCTAACTTCAGGCTTCAGGAAGTGGTGAACTGGAGCACGTGTGGGTATTAAAATGGGCCACAGTCAGTGTTTAATTACGTTGCTGAAGAGAGGCTTTGAGCTGCGTTAGTCGGCCTCTTCCTCTTGGTTCCTAAACAGATGCAGAAGTGCCTTTACACTCTGTTTGTGTCACTAATCAGCCGGGGTTGGAAAACCTGTGACGAGCAGATGCAGCTGCATTCGGCCATGCCTGTCGGTTAGCTATGGAGGTACGTCATTGATTGAAAGTTGTTGACCATGTTAATGTGCCTACAGCGTGATGTCAGCTGATAGTTGCTGCAGCCCAGAAGCAGACAAACAGCAGAACCAAGCAGCTTGAAAGCATTTCTGACCTTTCATGTGATGTGTCCACGAGGCCTCGGGAGGCTCATGGACAGTAGAGAAGGATGGTCAATGAAAGAAGTAAAAAAGGAGGTTCTGGTTTCCCTTTGATCTTTGACGTAGGGGTGAAAGGAGAGGTGGTGCTTTCAGTGGCGGCTGGGTGGAGAACACTGGGAACCGTTATCCCCTCTTTGTCCACACAACCTTTCGTACGGGTCCAGAAACAAGAGAAAAGAAACAGTTGTCTCACCACCACCAGGTTTTCATTAGCTCTCTTTAAAGCATGAGCCGAAGTTAACACGGCGCTGTGACACTTACGCCTTTCTTCACGTGTGCTGCAGTACTCCTCAAGACCTCTACACACACTCTGATGTGTGAAGTTCCCCTTTAAGCTTCAGTTATGGTGGAGGCAGTGCAGCTCCACACTCTTCCCATGGCATACCATTTGTTTGCCCCCACAGGAAGACTATATTAAACAGCCCCGATAGAAGTCTGAACCCAACTGCGTCACACTTCCTCATAAAGGTTAGAGGGGAGACAAGAATGGAAAGAAAGGGGGTTGTGTCACTTCTCCATACAGTGTACTGAAGGCTCTGTGGCGGGTTTAGCTCAGTGTGTGTTCACTGGAAAAGCCCAGACAAGTGAGACGCACTCCAGTGGTTTCACAAAATGTACTTGAGCGCAAATGTTCATGTTGGCAAACACACATAGTCACACACACACAGATGTAACAGCTGACACACACATACAAGAGTCAGACACTCCAGGGAATGCATAGGAGTGCTTCCCATAAGCCTCAGCATGACGTAAGGAGACAGCTATGTGCACAAAGTAGGCTTTTCTGAGCGCTGCCCTGCGGCCATGAAGGCAGACTGAATCCACAATAATGCATCAAGGAACAGTAGAGCAACTGGAGAGAGGGCTAATATTCTCACCCATTTGTAGTCCCGTCAGTTTAATGAAACAATGTGGTCTAACAGGACTGATGCAGTCTCTCACATGAATAATGCTATATTTACACTTTAACACATGATCCTAACCTCATGTTGGCTGTGCTGACTGAGTGCTTTATGCTGTCTCACCCTGAAGGAAATGATGGCATTTCTGGGACTGTGTATAAAGCTTTCCTAAAGCTGCTGAACATATAGAGGAACCAAGGAGACTCTTATCTAGACCTGCCACTCGCTGAAGCTACTGAAACAGATCCGAGGCTGAATAATCGACATGCTCTCACGTCTGTCTGCCATTATTGAAGGCAACACGATTGTTTCTTTCAAAATGTGTTCCTCATGTGATGACGACCAAAGAGAGGCTCTGTACACAGCCTCTGCTGTAGGAGCAATCTGTGTTACATACAAGTGTTGGACACAGATAGGCTTCTGTCCTCTGATGGACTCTATTCAGTGTCTCATATGGTGTCCACATTACAGACGCTCATCTGTGTCCCAGTCAGTCAGTCGCCATCTTCCAGCTGCAGTGCTAATATAGTATATATATATATAATATTTAAACTGAACTATAGTTTCTTCAGGACTAGGGTGTAAAACTTCTCACATGGTAACATTAATGGGGCTTTTTTTTGTGTTTGTTTTTCAGAAATCTACGTACCTGAAGTCCCTTTTTACATGCTCCTATACAAATGGTTGTATTTATTAGTGTTTACTGTCAAACCTGCGGCTAACTGCACCATACATAGTTGGAGATGCACCATATACTTTTAACACCACCCAAGCTCACTCCTTAGCTATTCCTATCATCAGCTCATGTATGTTTCATTATTTCTCCCAGTCAAGTGAGTAAGTAGATCTACTGTGGTATATTTCTTGCCCCGGGCGATTGGGCAGTCTACATTAAGTGCTGCTGTATCTGTTCACAATGTGGCGGAGTGAGCGGTGTCACTCTGAATTGACACCGCTCACATTATCACATTGTTTTCACATCTTTTCATCCATTATCATAAAATGTATTGAGCACATAAAAGCCACTTTAAAGTGCCAACCACAAATATTATTTCCTTTAGGAGGAAGTTTATAATCATGGTTTATCTTTGCTTTCATTCTCTCATTGGTGAAATGCAGTCGTGCAGCCAATTGTTACCGGTTATTTTAATTTGTACTGTCGTGATTTTAATCATATCACATACCATGCCCAATCTTTTGCACTGTGACGAGGGTACGAGGGTGGAGGGTAGGAGGGTGGAGGGTACGAGGGTGGAGGGTAGG